CTCTTCCTAGTGTGAGCCTCAGGGCTATGAAAATGTCAAGGCACCGTGACCTGGTGGTCAGGGGACTCGGAGGCATCCTGGTGGGCAGGGTTGGGAGCTTTGAGGGTCCTGGTGGAAATGGGCAATGAGGCGACAGCTGGCATCAAAGCCCCCTTCTTGCTGCCTCTGTGTTCCTCCTGCCTCAAGAACTCGCCCCCAACACGGCACAGGGAACTGACCCCAACAGCCACGGGCCCCCCGGCTGCGCCTGCTGCTCGCCGCACTGCGAGCATCTCCGAGGTCCGGGCCCTGGTGGCTGCCCCTGATGACTGCCCCGGGTGGAGTGGCACACGAGGGGGCAGCCTGGCTCGCGGGTCGGACTTTCACTCACTCAGCTGTCTGCGGAGAGTGTGCGAGACAGACGGGAACGAGGCATCGTCGTTCGTTTGAAGGGCGTTTGGAGCACAGAGAAGAGATTGAGAAACGATCTGGAAAGTCAAAGGGACGTTTAACAGAGAAGGAGGGAGAATATTCCAAATAGAGGGAACAAATATAAAAGTACCCAGGTCTAAAAGAGCATGCTGTGCGCCAGGGAAAGGGAGTGTGAAGTGGGGACAGGCCCAGGAAGGCTCCGGGAGCAGTGACGGGGGCTGCAGCCTCGTCATGGGCCTCTTGCGTCCCAGGGCTGGCAGGTCTGGGGCAGCTGAGGCCCAGCAGGCCTCTCTAAAGGATTCACTTTGAGGAAAGATTGAACATAGGGAATATAAAATGGAGTCACCTTAACCAAGCCGGTGACACCATCATCACTGTGAAGGCCGAGGCCTGAGGAAAGAATGCGTTCTCGTCCACCTCCAGCCTGGGAGCGGAAACCTTTTTGAACTTTCCAACCCGGCGTCAGTGCCTGGATCTACGTCGGGACCTCAAGACCCTCTGCCCCCATGAAGGACTCACGTATCCAGACCAGCAGGTGGGACCAGACCTCCTGGCGCCCACCTTCCACACCACCCCTCATCCTGGACCAGTCCTAGGGCTAAAGATGCAAGACTGATCACTCTCAAAATGCACTTTATACTCTAAAAACTTTCACTTTTCCTTCTTCTCTGGGACACTTCTGGGTTTTTGCCTAGCTGTGTTCCCGGTTTGCAAACGCTAAGACCCTTGAATAAATCTTTATCATGTATTTCCAGCAAAGCCTCCAGACTCTCTTTGAGTTTGTCTGACAACTTGATTCTCCATTTAGGCTTGATTTACTTCTTTACCTTTGAGTGCAAGGTAATTAACAGACTAAGATTTAAACCCATCCACGGTGTGATATGTGATTTATGAGAAGTATATATTGAGTCTTCAACCCTCTTCCTGGCACAGAGCTCCTAAAACCCTTGGCATTTCATGTGATAGCAGCGGTTACTTTTGTTATGTTAATGAGGTGCTTTGGGAGCCCTCCTAAAAATGGGGGCTGGTTGCCAGGACAACCAACCTTGTGAGTAAACAATTGGAACTTTCAGTCTCATCCCCCACCCCAACTTCCAGGGAGGGGAGAGGGGCCGGCGGTCGAGTTCAGACATCAATGGCCAATGATTTAGTCAATCACGCCTGTGTCGCGAAGCCTCTATAAAAACCCAAAAGAAGAGGCTTCAGAGAGCTTCCGGGTTGGTGGATACGTGGGGATCTGGGGGATGGCGCCTGGAGAGGGTGTGGAACCTCCTCGCCCTTCCCCCACACTTTGCCTCATTCGTCTCCCACCTGGCCATTTCCGAGTTCTATCCATTTGTAATAAATTAGTAATCTAGGAAGTACAATGTCTGAGTTCTGCGATCGGCTCTAGCAAATTAATGGAAGGGGTCATGGGAACCTCCAATTATAGCCAGTAGGTCAGAAGCACAAGTGACAACCTGGACTTTCGACTGGCATCTGAAGTGGGGCGGGGGTAGAGGCGTGTTTCACGGGACCGAACCCTCGATCTGTGGAATCCAATGCTTCTGCCCAGTGGGCTGTCCAGGTACGTGGCGTCAGAATTGAGCTGAATTCTCAGACATTCGGCTGGTGTCTGAGGTTGCTTGCTGGAAGTGTTAAAAAAAATTTTTTTTTTAAAAGAAACAACAGGCCAAAATGGAGTCACTCCTGCTAAGCCACATCACCAAACCAAACTTTAATAACTAATCTAATAGCAGTTTCAGCCTCGTCCAGGAGTGGAATTTTAAACCAATCAACCTGGAATGGCTGGCCAGCACTAGTGAGGTCATCTGCCTGGTCAGACCCTGGCCTTCCCCTAAGGAAAGATGTCCTTGCCTGAAATAATCCACTCTTAATTTTCTCGTCCCACCCTCTTTCTGCCTATAAAAACCTGGTTGCTAGAGGGTTGCTGCCCAATTCATGAGATTTACGAATCGCTTAATAAAACCGAGTAGATCTTCAGATTTACTTGGTTGGATTTTGCTCTCTAACAGAGGTGTGGGGGAGCACACACGCGCACACACACACGCGCACGCACACAGGCGCACACACGCGCACGCACACGCGCACGCACACACGCTAGAGTTGGGTCGAGGAACCCAAAGACATGAGGATGGGAGACACTGTGAAAAGGCTGTCTGCAAGGCCCCCCTGGTAATGCCGGGCACTGGAGGTGGGGTGCAGCTAGCCCGCCAGGCAGAGCCACAGCATCTGTTCAAAGCTTCTTCATAGACCTGTGCTGGGACCCACCTTCAGGTCACCAGGGACCTGGCAGGTCAGCCGAAGCATCAGCCAGCGGGAGGGGAGATGGGAGACAATGGAGAGGGGAGGTCTGATGATCACATCTCCTTCAGCCTCCAGAGAAAAGACAAGGACTGGAGGGCCACTGCAGGCCGGGAGGAGTGGTTTGCGCCGAATACCTGTGTCGTGATGGTTGGAATGTGACAAGTGTTTCGAGAAGGAATAATTGAACTGGCCCTGGCCTTCAACCTGTTGGCAAACTTCAGAGTTTCTGTAAGACCCTTACTCGGCCTGTTTGAGGTGTCCGAGGAGCCAGAGACGGGTGGATTCTGGAAGTCCCTTTCGGCACTTTCCCTGAGCAAGGCTGCTCTGTAATCTGCCCGGTATTTTAGAATGCAGACTGACCTGGAGAGTAGAGGTGGAGGCAAGAAGATCTGTCCGGAGTCTTGAGATGCCTTCGTGAGAGATAAGGGCTAAGGGGAGGTGATAAGGACAGGAGTGTGAAGGAAGGAATAAAATGCAGAGCGGTTTTCCTCAGAGAACCAGCCTTTGAAGTAGGATTACCAGATAAAATACTTATACTAAAAAAATACCTTTTGTTTATCTGAAATTCAAATTTACTTACCATTCCAAGTTTTTTTCTTTTTTGCTTTTTGTTTTCTAAACCAGGCAACCCTACTTTAAAGCTGCACATGACAGGACTGTGCTGTGGCCCAACGCAGGGGCTTCCCGACTCCACACTGGGACGTCAGCCTCCTTTCCTAGCCCAGGCCAGCCCTGTTCTCTGCCCCCAGCACAGGCCTCAAGGACTTGGCCCTTTTCCTTTGCTCCTCAGCACCGCCACCACCTCCCCCTTGCCCCGGGCTTACTCTTCCAAAAGCCTGACTGGTTGCCCAGCTACCTGCTTTCGTGCTCACTCCCCAAAATAAGTCCCCAGCCTCTCCTGAGAGTTTTACCTCTAATCGCCACAGGGAAAGACACAGGAAAACAAACATGAGAAACAACGAAAAGTGTGTAAGGCTTTAGAAGTTATCAGGCAGGGCTCCCAGGTTTACAGCTGTTGACCACACTCTCCCAGTGATTTAAACATCTTCTTTATTCTTGAGGATGGAGCTCAAGGCTTAATATCCTGGTGCCCATCTATCTGGTCAATTGATGGTCATTGGCACCAATTCAAAGCCAACAAAAATCTCCAGCTTGGAGAGCAGTGAAAAACAATTTTTTATTCAGTGCAAGCAGCTCTACTGTGAGAACAGCATGGCTGCAGAACAGTTCGATCGTGTCCCAGCTTAATTTCGAGAGGGCGCGGCTGCGCAACGGCGAGGCTGCCAGGTGACCCTTGGGCAAGGAAGCCCTGGGGTGAGGCATCTCTCCTGTTGGACAGCTCCGCTCCAGTGAGGGGATTTGGCTGCTTCAGCTCTAATCAGGGCAACACAGCCTCCAGCTGTGAGAACAGCATGGCTGCAGAACAGTTCGATCGTGTCCCAGCTTAATTTCGAGAGGGCGCGGCTGCGCAACAGCGAGGCTGCCAGGTGACCCTTGGGCAAGGAAGCCCTGGGGTGAGGCATCTCTCTTGTTGGACAGCTCCGCTCCAGTGAGGGGATTTGGGTGCTTCAGCTCTAATCAGGGGAACACAGCCTCCAGTGGTCCCTGGAAAGGGAAAGCTAGCTCCAGGGCCACAGGGGAGTGGACTTATGTAGACAGAAGTCCCCACCCCTGGTCCCTGATTGATATGCCTTCCTCATACAAATGAGGACTCCGAATCTTCGCAGTTCAATTGGTGCAACAGGTACTGTCCTGATTGGTCAGAATGGAGCCACTGTGATTGGTCAGCAAAGATACTGATGGGGGAGGGATATAAGCTGTAGAGTTCTGATTGGACAGGAAAAGCTTCAGTCCTATTGGTTGGAATACAATTCCAGGAGCTCCTTTATAGGGGCTGGCTCAGGCAGCAGGAACACAGTGCAGGCCAGCAGTTCAGTGTCATCTTTTTCCTAAAGCATGGCTTTAGAAGTGGCTGCTGGGCTGTTTTTAAATGTGAACCCAGTTAGCCACAGGAACCCTTCTTGGTAGGTATCTTCTTTCTCGGGGGCTCAGCAATTTCTATGGACACCTTTGCCTTCCAGGAGCATTTCTGTATGCTCATCTTCTTCCATGGCCCATAGAATTGTGAGCCACTGGAAAACATTAGAGCTTAAGGGACAGGGGGCTGTGCCTCTTGTTGAAAATTCAACAAGAGATGGAAACTTTCCCGAAAGCCATGAAAATGAAGGAGGAAAAAAATGAAAGTATGAGAACACATGAAGGTTTTACTGTGGAAAAATACACATAAAATTTACCACTTTAAGCATTTTTAAGTATATAGTTCAGTGGCATTAAGCAAATTCACATTATTGTACAACCATCACCACCACTCACCCCATAATGAAACTACTCATTAAACAATAACTCCCCCTTCCCCATGCCCCTGGCACCGCTGTTTCATACAGAGATAAAATCACATTTTACCTCCATGAATTTGCTCTAGGTACCTCATATAGGCGGCATCAGAAAATATTTGTCCTTCTGTGTCTGGCTTATTTCACTTAGTATATCTTCAGGGTTAATCCTAGCATGTAACAGCATTTTACTCTTAAGGCTGAATAATATTCATATGCAGTTTTGTACATATTTTAGGGCCATTAAAAACACTTAAATTTAGAGATATAAAACTATACTATGAATATATTTTTTTCATAAAGTTTGCATAGGAAGACTATGGTCAAGGAGGGATATAAGAATTTGTTTTTCACCTTTGGAGAAAAAAAGTACCCCTCCCCTGCCACCACCCCCGCAAAAACAAACCAAAATAGTGCCTTCCCTAGCTCCCAAAGTCAGGTGCTACTCAAAAGCCCCGCCACCTGGAGGCCCCTGAAGAACTACAACTCCCGGCAGCCCTCAGGCCCCGCCCCCAGCGACTCCATTTCCCAGAAATCCCGCGCCTCGGTCCGCCCCGCACTTCCGCGGGCCTCAGTTCCCGGCGACCCTGGCGGCAGGTTCCGGGCGTGAGTGCAGTTTGTGATGGCGGGGGCTGGGTCCGCCGCTGTGTCCGGCGCAGGAACCCCGGTGGCGGGGCCCGCAGGCCGCGACCTCTTCGCCGAGGGGCTCCTCGAGTTCCTGAGACCCGCTGTGCAGCAGCTCGACTCTCACGTCCACGCCGTCAGGTGCCCGGGAGGGACGGTCGGGGCGGGGTCTCACCTGGATTTGGCATTGTAGGGGCGTGGCCACGAGTGGGCGGAGCCACGATGGATGCCTGCTGGCGTTCTGTTGGGGCTGAGAATGAATTTGGGGCACTGATTGGAGGCTGGGCAGACCCGCAGAAGGCCGCGGAGTGGGGAGTGAGGCTGAATTCCCTCGGCGCTTGGGACACGCAAGAAACAGGGCTGTTGAGTTCTGTACAGACCTTGTACCTCTTTGCAGAGAGAGCCAGGTGGAGCTCCGGGAACAAATCGACAACCTAGCTACTGGTGAGTACCGTTTTACCATCCTGTGGGCTGGGTTTCTGTCGCTTCCAGCACATCAGCGCTGCCAACAGACTCTTTTAAGTTTCTCGTTACTGTGGTCCATGTGTGTGCAAGTCTACTAGCCTTCTTTGCCTAAGAAAAAGAAGTGAGCCAGTAGGTGTTAGTTGCACCTTACTTCCGCCCCCCAGAACTGTGCCGTATCAATGAGGATCAGAAGGTGGCCCTGGATCTCGACCCCTATGTGAAGAAGCTCCTTAATGCCCGGCGACGAGTTGTCTTGGTCAACAACATTTTACAGAATGCCCAGGTAAGTTTCCTGTCCGCGGTGATTCTTTGTTCTGCTTTGTAAGTTTCTTGGGTATTTCTCCAATTTTCAAAGGATGTCTCAGCCCTCAACGTAATGAAAGTCATAATTTTTAACGTCTTTGGGGAAAGGGAGTGTTAACCAAATTAGTGTCTGCCATAACAGAACTCAGTTATGCTCAATGCCATCATTTATACTTACATAACTTAGATTACTTTGAGATGGAACAAGCCTAAGCTATTTTCCAGGTGACATGGTGAGCTCTAAAGCCTCTCACAGAGCAGTTACTGAAATTCCAAATCTCGTCTTGTAGGAACGCCTGAGGCGGCTAAACCACAGTGTTGCCAAGGAGACAGCCCGGAGGAGGGCAATGCTGGATTCAGGAGTTTACCCGTCTGGTTCACCAAGCAAATGACGGACCAGAAGCGGGCCCATGGCCTCAGAATAGCACAAGCACTATTTTTCAGCTGCTTTTCCTCCAGGACACCCTGTAAACCTTGGGACATGAAAAAGCAGTCGTACGGTTTGTGTTGAAGCACTTAAAAGTCTTACTCATTTTTGTGTGTGTGTGGGGGGGGGGGTCCAAAGAAACTTTTGTACGGCAGGACTCAGGATCCCAAAGGCTGTATTACAGCTCTTGCTTCGTTCCAAGAATGAGCTGAGGCCTGCATTTTCTTTTAAAGCTATATACTCAAGGCCTACCTCTACCTATTTCAAGCCTAGTTAACCAGGGAGGGGCTTCCTGTTACATGGCTGGTTGTTGGGGCCTGGGCAGCATGTCCTCTACCTGTGACTTCTCATTTTCATGTTTACACTGACGATCTGGAGAGGCAGGCAAAGTCAAGGTCGGCGCCCCCTATGCCTTCCTGTTGATTTCACTAGCTTGAATACAGTAGCAGTCTTGCGAGAACCATTTAATTCAATAAATGCTTAATCAGTATTCTTGTTTACTCTGGTATATAGAACGTTTCCAAAAGTTGTTTTGTACTTTAATCCAAGTACAGGTTCAGCTGTGATCTAGTGTTTACGATGAAAAGACACAAGTATCATTTTCAATGAGGAGTATAAAAAGCCAAAACAAAGGTTGCTAGATTGTCAAGGAAAAACAAGATCAAGAGCCCTACTAGGAAGTACTTTAATCATTTTTCCTAGAAAAAAATTTCCAGACATCAACAGTTCACATTTCAACAACAAAGTACTGGTTGAGAGGTTTCTGGAAGCTGGGGAGTTTACAGTATTAAGGAAGAAAAGTTGGTATCCTGCTTCACTGGGGGACTTCTGGCTACTAGGCCAACGGCAGAAGTCTGTGGGACGACACTTCCTTCCATAGAGTTTTTTTTCCCCCGTCTCCCCATCCCTCAGAAATGCCACCATATAAAGCCCAGTGGCAGTTAGCCTAGGCTCCGGTCTTCCTTCCCCTTGGGTAAGAAAGAGGGTGAAGGCAAGGTCACTCCTGCGTCTCCATGCTTTCCTCCTCCTCTCCCGGAGGTGGTTCTTCTGCATTCTCCTCCTCTTCTTCTCCTTCCTTCTTCTCTGGTGGCTTCTCATAAGCCTTTTCTGAAGGTGTCACTATCACTCCATCCCAGGTAGATATTTCAGAAGCAAGATCTAGAAAAGAAAAGGTGACTTCAGACAAGTAGCCCAGCGTACAGGTCACGATCTGCGCAGTGGGGACACTGAGACATGGAGCAGTGCAGAGCTGCTGTGCAGACCAGAGCACCTAGACCCCTCGCCCACGGTGGTCACTCACAGCTGGCATCACCCTCCTGGCCAAGGATCTTCCTGAAGCCACCATGCGAGAGTATCCGGACCAGCGTCTGAGCCGTGTAGCAGACCATGTCCTGAGGGAGAGCAGAGCGAGTGTAAATGAGCAGGCAGCCTAACAGTCTCATGCAAATGGAGACGAAGACAACTTTTAATTTCAAAACCAAAATATGAGAACCCCCAAATCCTTGATCGCTACAGGTCACATTCCCTTTGCCTCTGACCGGGAGTATTCTAGAGTGGGGCACAGCAGAGCCTTTGCGAGCTGTCCCAGTACCTGCTGTTCCAGAGTCATGACTGTGTGTACTCTGAAGTTGCCACTCTCACAGGGGTCCGTGATGCCCATCGACCCTGGCAGGAACAGTCCTGCGGCCAGGATCTGCAAGCAGCGCCTGAAACACACAGCAGTATGAAGAGCACACAAGACAGCCGACATCCAGCCCCAAACCCAGAGGAGCACGCGATACCTGTATGCCACGTTTAGGGCCAAAGGCTGTCTGGTGGGGTTGTTCATCACGGCATAGTGCCCCTGGAAAAGAACACATGTGGCACTAGATCTTCAAACAAAAACCTTAAACTGTTGCGAGGAAAACTGGTCCGTTAAGGTCTAGCCAACATTTCCACGTTCAGAAGCGATTCCGAAGTGACTGTGGGTCCAGTATATTCTCTCCATGAGCACATCAGTGACATGACAGCCGTAATAAAATGATAAAAGGGCAGTGATAACCAAGCGCCCAGTGGATAAACGTTACTGGATTTCTTGTCCGTCAGTGAGATTTCTTTGAAGCTTCACAAAACTTCAGATTCTAGTAGGTACAGTAACCGCTGCTAAATAGGGGTAACTGAGAACCCCGACCGCCCTCTACTCACGAGTAGGTCGAGGATCCAGGGTGTGAGGGGCTCAAAGCCAGGAAAACGAATCCTCAGGTCCTTCAGCAGTCTGATGAGAACTTTAACTCTGAAGAGGGAGCCAAGGATTAAAAGCAATGCAATCACGTAGTCCCCCACCTGAACTACAGAGCTGGAGCTATTTCAAGAACTATGAGTTCTTTCTCTCTATTTAAGTTCGGTTACTTAATGTAAAAATCAAAATCCAGACAGAAGGCTGAGTCAAAAATTTCCATGGGAGATGTATGGGCACCCCGCTATTCACTGAAGTTAGCAAGATTGCTTATCTTAGAGAGGGAGGGACTCACGTGGACTGAGAGGCATTTTCCTCAAACCAGCGGGCGTGCCGGATGGCTGCTAGGGCACTCTGCAACACCTTGATGTCCACTGGAAGACAAGCACGACAGGCCAGGGTGAAGCACTCCGAGTGAGCCAGCACCGCAACCCACCGCCGCCGTTCAGTGCTCAGAAGGCGGGCGGGACAGTGGAGCCTCTTGGAGCCTCCCCCATTCCTCGGATCAGCGAATCGCTTGTCCGTGCTTTTCTCCAAAAGCCAACCCCCTGCATAAACACTCCCTGTCCTCATCTCTCAAGTCCTCAAAGTGCTTTCCTGGCCATCCTGTCTGACGGTTTCACCAGCAAGCTGGTAAACCTATCTCCAAATTACAGAAGGAGCGAGCAAAGTTTGGGGCTGAACGCGGGTCCCAGCAGGTTTTCATGTGGCATACATAGCCACAAGTTAAGTCGACAGCGACTTTACGGCATGTTTGAATTTCCCCCAAGTTTCCCAGCAACGGAGGACAGGGACCAACAGTGGAGTTCTGGGTCCAGTTTCCGGAGGTTGGGCGGCACTGTCGTGATGAGGATCTTCACCGTCGCGTCAGACGAGCTGATCTCGAAGCCAGTTTCGTTGGTCAGCATGGTCAAAACTGAAAGAAAAACCAAAAGCACCGACTCACATTTCCATCATGAGGACATGACATCCAGGGTGGGGCACAGGTGGGCTTTAAATGCAGGAGTCCAGAATGAGGATCTGGAATCCAGAGTTTTAAAAGGAAGGGAGATAACAGGATTTTGAACAGGGGAGACTCCAGCCAAAACTTCCCGGATGCAGAACTCCGCACCCGCTCCTCCTTCCGCCTGCCCCGACTTTGTTAGGCGTGTACTTGCGAGTACGGAGCCGGCTCCCATGAGCACGAGATACACATTCAGGAACAAACTCAGACCTTCAGAAGGGTCCTGCGCTCTGAGGCTCTCCACGACTTTGTTCCCTAGGGCAGCGACAGCTTCCACTAGGTCGAGAGAGGAGATGACAAACGCTATCATTACTATGCACACATCCTGTACATTCCAGGCTGTTCTGCACTGATTTCTGCCCACGTTCAAGGCCGAAGCAAGGGCAAGCAACAGAAAAAACACTTTTACATGGGGAAACTAATGCCTGGACAAGCACTTGGACGGCTCAGGGCACAGGACACCTCCTCCACCCACACCCCTTCCCTAGGGGGGCACTGCTGCCACTTTGGGCTGAATAGCTGTTTGGGGGCTGAGGGGCAGGGCCGACCCTGTGCCCTGTAGGATGCTTGCAGCCTCCCTGGCCACCACCCCCTTGACGCCAGTAGCTCAAACATCTATAGCCACTGCCAGTGACCCCTGAGGGATGGGGGCAACATCAGCCCCAGTGGAGAAACATTGTCTTATAGTAACTGGCCATACATTCTCTCAGACACACACTCCAGAATGTGTCCCTTATCACCCTCACACATCAAAAAATAAATTTCCCGTGTGTCTTCCAAATAGCCTTTTTCCAAAGAAATTGGAGCTTTAAAGGTCCCTATGTCTCAAACCCAACTGCTATGTTCTGTCCTCATGGCCAGAAAGAGGTCCACTCACACGTTGGCAGAATCTTTAGGATTACCACCAGGTCGGCCACGTTGTGCCCCGTGGTCATCGTTCCCTTTTTATAAGATCCCACCTGTCGAACTTCTTCAATTTGCTGTTGGAAAAGGGATTTCAGGGGGAAAAAAGGTGAAAAGATTGCCCAGCTCCTCATTACCCAGATCTGGAAGTTGCAGAAGTCAAATCATATCCCCAAAACCACACGAAAAGCCTGATACATCACAGTTAGCTGATAACAACGACACAAGTCGTGTCCCCAAGATCCCTACCACGAAGAGATTCCACTGTACTTCCCCATTTCAGGTCTGGCTTCGCATGACAGGTAAGGAAAGAATTGAAACAGGAGCCGATAACATTTCCACGCTGCCACAGCTGCACTTTCCTAGGGCTATATCATCAAAAACTCACCACTTCAAATGTCCCTGGAGCCACAATCAAATTGTCAATCACGTTGTTTATTTTTGTCACCAGAGAAAGGATAGAGGCCTGAAAAACAGCAGGAAACAAAAATAACCTAAGGTGAAAAGCTGCTCAGAGTGTGAGTGTCTCCCCCTCAGCGCTTCCACGAGCAGAGTCAAGGCTGACATGGTGCTTTGAAAACCCCGACCCTCTGGCCTTGAACGTGCCAGAACAGAACAACTTTCTGATGCACTCATCCGGCGCGATCCCCCCATCCAGTGAGAAATGAGAACTACGGTCTCCCCGCTTATCCGCAGTTCCGCTCTCCGTTGTTTGTTGCCTGCAGTCAACCGTTGTCGAGAACGTTAAGTGGAACATCCCACAAATAAACAAGTTTTAAACTGCACAGTCCCGCTCCGGACGTGCAGCACCCCTCTGTCCAGCACACGCAGGCGACATATGCCTCCGGCCAGCACCCACCTTGGTGATCAGATCCCAAGAATCACGGTGAACACCCCTTACAGGAGGAGCCTGGGCTGCGCCGCACGCCTGCGCCACTCACCTCCCCTCAGCTCACCCCAGGGGCATCGCCTGCCATCGTCACAGAAGTTCGATACGATACGACGTTCACATAACTCTTGTGTTGTTATAATTGTCCTATTATTAGCTGTTAACCCTTTACTGTGCCTAATTTATAAGTTAAACTTTATCATAGGTACGTATGTATAGGAAAAAAGACAGTATGTACAGAGTTCAGTACCGTCCACGATTTCAGACACGGAGGTCTCAGAACGTACCCCCCGCATACGGGGGGACCGCTGTGAACCCTCCATGGAGTTTAGGCTCTGATGACTAATCCCGCCCGTAGTTTAGCACTGCCCTAGCTTTCTTAGAGGACTCACAGGAAGGAAGCCAAAAGAACATACTTGTTCAGCAGAATTAGGAGCAAGGTCCTGATTCCTCTTCAGCAAGGCCTCACTGAAGGAAGTTTCATCAGGCGCTGGCTTGACCCGGGGGAAGGCCATCTCGCACTAAGGAAGGAATAAACAATTATATACTCTGTCGAAAATAATACCCAGGAGGTTCTTTTTCTGTTGCCACAATAGAAAAAAATTTTTTAAAAGTTCTACACTTGTTTTTCTTCCTTAAGATGTTCCAACAAGGATACAAGTTGGAAAGAATAGCCATAATTTAAGCTCTCGCTATCTACATATTAACAGACAAACCTGAGATAACTTTAACTATTCAGAAAAAGATTACAACCACGTGACTGCCAACAGTAGCCAAGGAATCACCTTACAGTGTTTTTGTACGTAAAGCAACACAAAGCTAACTCAAAATCCCAACTCCATTCACGAATCCCTTTTCCCACCATCTGACTTCATCCACAGGGAGGTGTCGGGCTCCATGAAACTATAAGTGGAAAGCGGCCAGGCGCCAGTTCTCTGTCAACTGAACAGAGACCACGATACTCATATGACGGTACATTATAATTATTCTATTTTACTATTAGTTATTTTTGTTAATCTCTTACTGTGCCTAATTTATAAGTTAAACTTTATCATAGGTACGTATGTATAGGAAAAAAGACAGTATGTACAGAGTTCAGTACCGTCCACGATTTCAGACACGGAGGTCTCAGAACGTACCCCCCGCATACGGGGGGACCGCTGTGAACCCTCCATGGAGTTTAGGCTCTGATGACTAATCCCGCCCGTAGTTTAGCACTGCCCTAGCTTTCTTAGAGGACTCACAGGAAGGAAGCCAAAAGAACATACTTGTTCAGCAGAATTAGGAGCAAGGTCCTGATTCCTCTTCAGCAAGGCCTCACTGAAGGAAGTTTCATCAGGCGCTGGCTTGACCCGGGGGAAGGCCATCTCGCACTAAGGAAGGAATAAACAATTATATACTCTGTCGAAAATAATACCCAGGAGGTTCTTTTTCTGTTGCCACAATAGAAAAAAATTTTTTAAAAGTTCTACACTTGTTTTTCTTCCTTAAGATGTTCCAACAAGGATACAAGTTGGAAAGAATAGCCATAATTTAAGCTCTCGCTATCTACATATTAACAGACAAACCTGAGATAACTTTAACTATTCAGAAAAAGATTACAACCACGTGACTGCCAACAGTAGCCAAGGAATCACCTTACAGTGTTTTTGTACGTAAAGCAACACAAAGCTAACTCAAAATCCCAACTCCATTCACGAATCCCTTTTCCCACCATCTGACTTCATCCACAGGGAGGTGTCGGGCTCCATGAAACTATAAGTGGAAAGCGGCCAGGCGCCAGTTCTCTGTCAACTGAACAGAGACCACGATACTCACCAAATAGAAATCAAACGGGATGTGCGGCACAAAGGGCCTGAACCTAAAATCAGAAAAACAATCCAAATTAACCACAGAAATCAAGTGACTTAGCATAAGGGGCCAAACTCATTTAGCTCTCCTGCTGTTTCTAAACCACAGCTGGACCTCACAGAAGCAGGTAACAACATGAGTCCACGCCAAACTCCTGCTTGGATGAGGGAAACAGAAACTAATCAGGGCAGAGATGCTTAAACCTGGCACTCACCCTCCTCCTGGGCCTCCTCTGGAACCAAAGCGCCCTCCGCGACCTCGGCCTCGGTCACCCCTAAAAACGCAAAAACAGACTGTAACTTGTTTTGCCCTCGTTAAAGGAATCTCTCCGCCATCATTTCAAGTTGGCCCGTCTCTGTTGCTCTGGGCTTTCCTCTGGAAGCCAAGAATCCCCTTTCCCCCTTAAACTTCTCCCTTTTCCAAATGCAGCCTCACGCTCGTGACCTCTTCCCTCTAGATAACTTAAAAAACAACCCCCACAAAATAATGACGGGGCTCAAACACTGAGCTCCTACAAGAAATACCCCATAATCCTGGGTACTTCGGAGACTAAAGTGAACGCTCATTTACTCACTAACGTACTACAACATTTAACGGCACAACCTGTCAAGCACTTGGCCCTGAGGATGAATGAGGCACGTCCCAGCCTTCTCAGTGTAGATGGGGGACACAGGGGGGGCTCCTCCTGGGACGTCCCCCCTCACCTAAACCCCTCAGAGGCCAGGGTGTGGAGCCCGCCTGCCGGCCCTGGGCCCCACCGCCACCCGAGGCCCTGGGTTCCCCGCCTCTGCGGCCTCCGACCTCCCACTCGCCCAGACCTGGGGCGCTCGGGTGCTAGGGCAGCCCCGCGCACGTGGTCCTTTCAGGTCCTCCGACTCCTTGCGGCCCACCTCCCCAAGGTTTCCGGTCAAATGCCCCCAACCTTCCCAGAAGAACCCAGCGCCCTCACCTCATGGCGCCCTAAGCCGCGAACAATGGAGACCACTCCAACCGCCCCCTTCCTCGGAGGAGCCGATAACTGGAGAGGCGGCTTGCCGGCGTGTCCCAACAAACCGCGGCGCGATTGGCCCCCGCGCGACGCCTCTGCTCATGCCCATTGGTTTACTCTGACAAGCCGGCTTGGGAACCAATAACAAAAGCCTGCTGTGTCAGAAACTAGCCAATAGGAACAGAGGCCACACTAATGGCGATTTCCTTATCAGACACTAGGTGGCGCTGTGTAAAGACGTGAGGACAGCGACTACGTAAATCACTTTCTATAGGAGCAAAGAGACCTGGCGTCCTCAGATAGCAGAGTGGCGCAGCGGAAGCGTGCTGGGCCCATAACCCAGAGGTCGATGGATCGAAACCATCCTCTGCTATCGGATGTTTTTCCTTCTTCACCTAAGATAGTATTTTTAATTTCAATTTTTTCAAGAAATATAAACAGCATCCTTTTGCCTTCTCCTCTCTCAAAAGAACAGCTTTAGGAGGCTGTTTTTGCCATTAGCTAATGAAATGGGAGAATACGAGGGCACTTCAGGCAACAGTGAACAAACAGGACACAGAAGAAGGGGATTTAGGAAAACGAAGCAGTCTGGCGACTCAATCAGACGGGACAAAATGCCGCCGGTGAGGCACTCGAAGGGAAACTGAGGTCTCAGAAAAAGTCAAAACAAAACTGAACAGGAGAATCTACATGAAACAAATTGATTCCTCCACTACCTGACCCCGCCCTCCGCGAGGCCCCCCGCGCAGACGCCGATTCCCCTCTGTTCGCTCGCCGGTCACCACGTCGCCACGTGCGTCGCCTGCCCCGTCGCGCTCTTTCTCCCCTACGCGCCTTCTTTCGCACTGATTCATGTTTATTATTCCCTCCCCGCCTCTGCTAATGGAAAATTACGCCCTTGTTATACTCCTTTAGTGGTTACCCTAAAAATTACGACTTGCATCCTTGACTTAGCGAAGCCTAATATTACCTAATACTTTTACTCCCTTCTTGAAAAACGCATGAGTAATTTAATTCTATTTACCACCATCACTCCCTTCAGTATTATATGCTATCGCTGTTGGGTGATTCTTTTAAGTACTTCATTGGTGTTTCATTTACTATGACAAAATGCACAGATCTTAAGCTTACAGCTCGATTAATTTTAAGTACTGAAGTCCGTCTATGTAACGACCACCCGGGTTAAGATAAAGAACATTTTTATCACTTCGGAAAGTTGGTTCATATGAGGAATTTTGATGAATTCAAGACCTCCAACTGGCTGAGTCACACCTAATACATTTGGGTTGGTTCCAGTTTGAGGGCCGTTATCAACGAAGCTGCTATAAACACTTTTGTACAAGATTCAGATGCATTTCTTTCTCTTGGGTGTAGGCGTATATTATATGTGCACAGCATTTAGATTCTGTGTATATTTTCAATCCCACAAGACATTAATGTGTATTAATTAAATTAGTGGTGATTTAGAATTACCATTTTTTAATGCTTTTTATGCCTTCCCGGAATTGCCAACCATTCATTTGAAATACTATTCTTCTTGAGAATTTGTGCCCATTTGCCGGTAGCTAACTTTCTTGATTTTGATTTGTCTGAATATGTCTTTATTTCATCTTTGTGTTTGAAGGATATTTTTTCTGGATATGGGTTTCTAGATTGAGAGGGTTTTTTTTTTCTCCCGGCACAAACAGTGGTGCTTCCACTTTTACCGTGGGGATGGGGGGAAGTTACCAATCTAACAGTTGCCCTTTGAAGGTAATCAATACTTCTTTCTATTTTAAAGATGTTATTTTTGATTTAAGATCCATCAGTTTCACTCTGATAGATCTAGATGCGGATTTTTCCCCCATCTTATTTGAGGTTTGTCAAACTTGAATCTGTGGCTCAGTATACTTAAGTTTCTCAGCCATTATCTCTTCATGTGTTGCTTCTATCCTATTAGTTCCCTCCTTCCTGGGCTCCAGATAAAGACGTGTCAGACCTCACAGTATCTTCTATGCCTCTCCTATGTTCTTCCTTCCTTTTTATCCATGCAGCATTCTGGGTAATTTCTTCTGTCCTTTCTTCCGATTTATTACTCAATCTTCGGTCAAATCTAACTTGCTGTTAAACTGATCAATTGGTTCTGAATTCAGGTTTTTGAATCTTTTGGCTTAGGATTTTCTACTTCTGGTTTATCCTACTCTTCGATTTTTCCCTAGGAGCACAGCCTTCCAGGATCCTAACCCCAAAGAGAAGGTGGTTCACCAGGGTTCTCACCTCCAGGGACATTTAGACTCCAATGTATGCCTCGTTTGCCCCACGTAGCCTATTGTCTGCCACCAATCTAGGATCAGCAAATGACCTTAGGGTAAAAGGAGTCCCCACTGCTGGTCTCAGCCTCTCTGTTTACCTGTCCTTTCCTGCTCTCGCACCAAGAATTCTTCACTGTTTTACTAGTTCTTCGAGTTTTTAAAAGTCTTTCATCCGATATCTCTAGTTGTCTTCAGCTTGGGGATTAGACAAATTATTCAGTCCACCATTGTCGATGGAGAAACTCAATCACTCAATTAGATATCTAGCCCAGTCATTTCTCCTGAGCTCTGTTTCCGCTAATCCAGTGACCTATTGGACACCTCCACTGGGGTATCGACAGGCAGCTCAAACTCAGTACACTGAAATTGTTACCATCTCCCAAAAACCTGCTTCTTCAGCTTCTCAACAAATGGTCCAATGTCGCCCTACACTTCAGTTATCTGTGTACCGTCTTCTCTTCCTTAAGTCCAATTGATTCTACTTACAAAACATCTCCCTATGTCTTAAACATTGAAGAGGGTAGATCTCATGTTAAGTGTTCTTAATACACACATACACACATGCACGCACACAAAAAGACACAGGAAACTTCGGGAGGTGATGGGTGTGTTTATTACCTAGATATTATGGTTTCGCGGGTGTATACATTTGTCCAAACTCATCAAATCGTATACATTAAATATGTGCGGTTTACGGGGTATCGACTACACCTCAATAAAACTTTTTTTTTTTTAACTTCTCAATCTCCTATCTACCTCTATAGCCTCTGGAGCCCCCCTCCCCGCCTTACAGGACAAAGACATTTCTGTCGCACAGAAGCTCACACGAGCTGCCCTCTGCTGCCCTTCCTTGCCTCTCCCCCTCAGCCATTCCTGAGTGCACACAGCTCACCTCGTAGATCAAAGCTGAAAATATAAACTCCTACTGCAGCCAGTAAGGCCACTGAGCCAGCAGAGTGGATGAGAACCACGATGAGCTGGGCATCTCAAGGAGGTGAGGGATGCGTGGTTCCAGCTGCTCATTCCCAGAGAGACACAGGACATATAGAACCAGCTCTGCAATATTTCAAGACAAGTCAGAACTCCAAGAAATCACGTGCCATCTGCTGATTTCTAAGTGTGGACAATTAAATATATGGAGAGAGAATGCAGGCCAAACACACCCCCATCCGAAGTTGGTCCATGGGCTACCGTTTGCTCTAGACCATGAGAATATTCGAAATTCATCTAAAATTCCATATATAGAAAGCGTAATTCAGTATTCTGCTCTCTCTGCACAGAATACCTTTTCGGTCCTTCTACCCTTGTCAACCATTTCCATTTGGAGACTTTCCTGGCTCCAACGCAGGCCACAGAGTCCTCATCCGGGCCTCTTAGCCATGCATCCATCTCTCTGTTGCGGTGTTTAGCGATATTATATTATGGTTATTTATCCCAAATAGAGCTTCTCAAAAAGTACAGAATATATATTTCTCTTTCTTTCTTTCTTTCCTTTCTTTCTTACCTTTCTTTCTTACCTTTTGTTTGTTGTGAAGCTATTTATCTGGAGTCTTATCTTGTCTTTTTTCTTTTTTCTTTTCTTGTTCCTTCCTTCCTTCCTTCCTTCCTTCCTTCCTTCCTTCCTTTCCTTTTTTTTTTCCACCCTCAGCATCTAGCTGGTGCTTAAGGTGTACCAGGTCCCCTGTTTGCTGATGGTTAGTTTGCGGACCTCGGATCCCGCCGAGGCGCAGGGTTGGAGAGGCGCGCGGCGCGAGGCCGTCAATGACGCCCGCTGAGCATTAGAGGGCAGGCTGATTCCACAGCGGTCGGGTCCAACGGTCAAGTGGCCCCAAACCTGCTCCCCAGTTTACGCCTCCGCGGGTCATTTCCAACACCATCTCCCACTGCCACCACGAACTCCATTTTAACAACCCTTCTCAACTCAAAACACACAATCACATTCCCGGAGCGGCCCTGAGGTCCCACGTCCCCTCCAGCCGCGCGCTGGCTCTCGCTCCCCTGCCTACAGCCCTCTGGAAACGAAAGCGTTAACGTCACCCTTCCACCTGGCCCTTTGCCTCCGCTGATTCGCTCAATGGAGAGGGGAGGACCCTAGACCGCCCGGGTCCACGGGACCCTGGGCTCCCCTACTTTAAGCTCTTTTCCAGAAACGCGTTCCCCTCGCGCCCCGCCCCAGGCACACACATCCACACACTCACACCTTTTCCTGCCGAGATCCAGAACCAGCACGTCTTCCTCTCCTCCCCGGACCGACCCAGGTAGGAGGGGAGGGGCCAGGGGAGGGCGCGAGAGGCCCCCGGTGCTCCCGGACGCCTCGGTTCAGCCCTCCTTCCCGTCCGCGCGAAGGAGCCCCTCCCGCGGGGGCCGCCTCTCCGAGGGCGCGGACCCTGGGTGGCGGAGCAGCGGGAAGAGGGTCCACGGGGACGGCGCGGGGGCGGCGGGCACGCGACAGCCCGCGACTTGGGGGCGGGGAGGAAGGAGTTAAAGATCTGGGGTTGGCTCTGCTGTCACCGAGTCTGGGAGGGGAAGCGGCTGGGAGGGAGGGTTCGGAGCTTGGCTCGGGTCCTCCCCAGTCCCCCCCCCGGACAGCCGGAGTCTCGGGCCGGCCGGACGCCCCATCTGGCACACTGGCCGGGGCCGCCCTCCCGCGCGCACACGACCCTCGCTCCCCTTCCCTCCCTCGCGTCCTCTCCCACCTTCCCTCCCAGCGCGAGCGAGTGCGCTCTC